GAGACTTGTGGAGTATGTGGCCAATACGCACGCTGCCACGCACAACCAGTACCAACTTGAGGTCCTAGAGGTTTCAATCTGGAGCGACACGGAGAGAAGAAACGTTACAAGCCGTTCTCAAAGCTTGATAACAGAATGCTACTGTGGCATGGATCAAGACTTACTAATTTTGTGGGAATATTATCCCAAGGTAAAGAAACTATGGCAATAGTCAAGTGTATTAGATATAACTATTTTCCATTTGTCAATAGTCATTATTATTTACATGTACTTATAAAACATACCGTATAACGCTTTAATTTGGCGATTGGCGGTTTGCAAGCAGAATTGCCAATATTAAAACCGCCAATCATTAATGCACATGCTCAGTAATGCACGTGTCCGCAAAAATCGCCAAATTAAAAACTGCCAATTACAATTTTACAGCAAAATTGCCAAAATAAAGCGCCGCCAAAATAAAACGTTATACGGTACTTATGTTTATAAGAAAGCTGCTTTAAAACACTTCTCTTTGACACATTAGCATATTCCTTGTATCCCATAGGTTTACGTATAGCTCCACCCGAGGCCCCAGTGACTGGATACATGTTTGGTAAAGGAGTCTATTTTGCTGACATGGTTTCAAAGAGTGCTAATTATTGCTGGACTAGCCCCCAGAGCCCAGTGGGTCTCATGCTACTCTGTGAGGTGGCACTGGGTAACATGTAAGTAGGAGGGAGAGGTTTAGAAGGATTTAAATCTGCTCCCCAATGTGGCTCTAATTGTTCACATTTTGTGATTACAATTTTGTAATAAAAACCTGGATTAGCAGCATTCTCTTTGTAAATTTAATAGCATACTGCCCTAAATGACAGTGCTCCAATGGTAATAGATTTATCTGCTACTTATCAAATATTGTGCTCTGTCTGCTTTGGTATTGACATCACCAACAACAGGCAGTGTTGTGTGATAATCCTCTTTGCTAATAATTCTTAGAAAACATCATCATCATTGTTTGTTTTTCATACGTAAACTGTTTGTTATTGTACAGTAAGTATGTGGCACTCATTAATTAACATACATGTACATGTACATATATAGAAGGAATTTCCTGTCTAAAAGATGCATTCATGTAGTTATGTACACATCTATTTGTAATACATGTACCAGTAAATTAGTTATTCTCCTTTTTTTTTGATGTTATTATTTATGACATGAAACTAATTAGAGTTTCCTCTCCTAAAGATGTTAATGGTGTGTAAATGCTAAGTTTGTTTCTATTCCAATTTCCTGCACTAGTTCGGGCCGTTTGTTATGCTTGGAGTAGTAATTGACATGTTTCCTTATTTTCATAGACATTTTGTCGCAATTGTTGCAGTACTAACCAACACATGCTCATAGTACATATCCCACACACCTTAATGCATGTTTTCATTGTTACTACCTTCAAGTTCTGCCTTGTACTATAAGGACAGGACTTTGACCAAATTTTGCCAAAAACAACTAGGAGAGAATTCTCCATTTTTATAATTTTTTCTGATACATATACATGTTCTATTTTGTGTAGCAAGTTTGAGCTGACTCCGATAAAAATTGGATTTTTATGAATTTTAAAAGTTACTGTAT